GCACAGACAGCAAGGGACCAATGAACAGCTACCAAAAGAAAATAATGTCCACACCTTTATCTCAGCGGTTCTGCCAGGCGTCTGTGGCCGCTCCGATCCTTCCTCCACATGGTCTCACCCAAGATGGCGGCTCCTGGAGCAGGTTAGCATCCCGAACTAGAAAGCAATGGATTTCTTGCTTCTGCCACAAATTCCCCCAGCTGTAAGCCTTCCAACCTTATAAATATTCCTTTACATGTGGTTCAGAGTTCTGGGACCATCCCCTGAGCCTGCTTGGTCTGGTATTCTTGTTGTTGTTGGCAGAACTCTTTGCTACACGTCCATCGAATCCGCCATCTTGTTTGTTCCCCTCCTCTTTCCTTTTTTTAAACTAACCTTATTATACTTGACATTGTGATCGCTAGTTTCTTAAAGATACAGTGACACAGAATAAAATTGTATATTTATGTTAAAATTTCCCCTGAATTTATGAATGTTTTTGTCACTCAAACAGGAGAGAATGATGCTATACTATCATACCTTTGTTCTCTACAGGTAATGGATTCTGAATTAATGCACAGTATAGTTGGAAGCTATCTTAAACCTCCAGAAAGAGTGTTTGTTCCATCATTCTCCCGGTATGAGACATCTCAGAATTACCACCCTGTGAACGTAGAAGTTATCCCTCCTAAAATGTTTCATAGTCCAAATAGCCAAGGTAATGCTAACATAAATCTCATACAAAGTTTTTTTTTTTAATTTGAATCAGTAAGAAAGTTGAGATTCATCAGTAAATGAGAATAGAAAATTTTTCTTTCCATTAAAGAACACTTTCTGGTAGAGTGACGGGAAGAAATACAGAAACCGTGAAACGCCTTTTAGACCCTTATTTTCAAGAAGTGAACCTGTTTTCATAGACCATAAAGAGTGAAGTGTTTTCTTGGAGATTTTGTTTCCCAGGCATCTCTGTATAATGGCCTGTGTGGAGCTTACTAGTACTGTTTCTTGGTTTCTGATTCAACCATAGACGAAAGGACTCTGCCATCAGTTGTCACCTCTGCAGTCATTGTCGTGATTACTCTGGGCTTGTTAGTATCTTAGCCCTTTTGATGAGGTCTCTCCACCAGAGACTGTGAGGAGAAGGAAGTCTTGTAGCCTCTACTTCCGCCCTGGCCACACCAGAACGGCCGCTGTGATTGCCACCACTAGAGCTTCCGCTACCATCTTCACAAAATATTTTATGTAAAAATCTTTCATTTTGTGTAGAAAATAAACAATACGATAGTGTATTTAATTAAACAAACTAATTTTTATTCTGTTGTTAAAAGTGTCTATGAATTTAGATAAGACACTTAACATGTTTTATTTTTGCTTCTTCAGCTGTAAAACACAAATTAATATAACCAGGAGAACATAAGTCACAGGTTCATGCTAAGAAAGAACATCATTAGATAACAGCAAAACATTATCTGAAGAATAAAGTTCAGAGTTTAAATCCTTCTAAATGGGTGGTGTTGTGGGATAAAGCATGGGACCACAAGGTCAGTTTGAACCACAAAGTCAGCAATTCAACCTCACCAGCTGCTCCTTGGAAACCACCCTATATAGGGTCGCTATGAGTTGGAACTGACGTGATAGTGCTTAACAACAACTAGAAGAATGAATAAATCTGTTTTGTCTATGAGTAAATGAAAGTCCTGGAAGCTTTTCTCGATTCATGTCATCACAGTCAACTGTGCTTTGAGGAGGCAGCTCTTTGCAGTCGTATTTTGTAGCCCTTCCCACCTGAGGGACTCATCTTCCAACTATATCTGTCAGTGTCCTGCTGCTGTTCATAAGGTTTTCAGTTGCTAAACATTCAGAAGTAGCCCATCTCTCTTCCTTTCTAGTCTTACTCTGGGAGTAAGCTGAAACTTCTCCACCATGCATGACCTTGGTAGTATATAAAATAACTGGCATAGCTTCCAGAATCCAGTGTTTTGTAAGCCACTACAGTCTGATGAACTGACAGTTGAGTGGTGGAATTACTTTGTAGGATGTCATGCTACTTTTTAATATCCTGGTTTGGCGCCATAGGATAAGCACTTGACCTCAAAGTCAATTTGAACCACAAGTTGGAACCAACTTGATGGCACTTAACAATGATGATTGCCATTAATAGACTAAATTTATGGAGTAAAACAATGGCAACTAAAAATAATGATTTAAATCAGTGAACCAGCTAGAGATGCCATGTAACTGAGAGTTTATCCCGCCCATACGTGTCAGAATAGAGTGGTGCTCCTTAGGGTCTTCAGTGGCTGATATTTTGGAAGTAGATCATCCGGCCTTTCTTCCAAAATGCTTCCAGGTGGACTAAAACAGCCCACAGTTAAACTTGCAGGTAACTATTTGCATCACCCATAAACTCCTGTGATATCACATAAAGAGCCATAAGAGAAAGATGAGGCTTTCTGTTCCCGTAAAGATTTACAGCTTCGGAAACCACGTGCAGGGTTGCTATGAGTCGGAACTGACTCCACGGCACATAACCACCAGAACCAGATGATTTGTAAAAGCCAAGTGATAATCTCTAGCAAGCATCTTTTGAATTCGCTATAAACTATATGAAGGTTAACCTATAACGATCATTTGTATCCCATTCATCTCTAGATGCTTTAACAATGAAGTTATAACTTAATGCCCAAACCAAAACCAAACCCACTGCCATCTAGTCAGTTCCAAATCATTGTTGTGAAGGTCCTTTGAGTCGTTTCCAACTCATAGCGACCCTGTTTAGGTTTCCGAGGAGCAGTTGGTGAATTTGAACTGCCAACTTTGTAGTTCAAACCGACCTTGTGGTGCTGCGGGTTAATGTGCAGGACAACAAGGTCGGTTTAACTGCATAATTGGCGTTTCAGGCTCACCAGCCGCTCCTCAGAAACCACGTTCAGGCTCACCAGCCGCTCCTCAGAAACCATATACAGGGTTGCTATGGGTTAGAACCCATATTGCATTCTACACAGCCATCCTTTCTTTCAGAAGTGTGCCCTAATGATACTTAACAACAACATTAACCACATTTCTAAGACTATACATCTTTATGAAAGCAGGAAGCCTCATATTTCTCCCACAGAGCAGCTGGTGGGTTGGAACTTCCAACCTTGTGATTAGCAGCTCAATGCCTAACCCACAGTACTACTAGGACTCCTTACATTTAATATTGTTAAATTCTGTCGAGTCCATTCCAAATCATAGCCACCCTGTATGAAGTTTCTGAGGAAAATCTGGAGGTTTTGAAACACTGACCTTTTGGTTAGCAGTCTAGTGCTTGTCTTATAGCACTATATCAGAACTCCATTACAGCTGATAGAAAGTATAAAATAATATTTTTTTAAAATGTGTAGCTATAAATGAATGTAAACAAAGACAGTAGCCTGACAGTTAAATGATTAAATTGGATATATTTTTTTCTAACAAAGAAGTTGTGTTTTTAACCTCATAGATCCCGATTGTTAACACTGTATATCTTGGACTTTGAAATAATGTTTGTGGTTTGACTAAAACTGAACTTATCAAAGATTGAGAACAACCTCTAACTTTAAACCTAAGTTTCCAAATTGAGTTGTTACTGCCAGTGAGTCAGTTCCAACTCATGGCGACCCTGTGTAGGAGCAGCTGGTAGGTTTGCACTGACAACCAGGTGCTGATCCTACAGCACCACACCAGTGATCCATGTTGTGTAGCAAATACCAAAAACACCTCAAACTTACTGCCTTTGAGTCAGTTCTGATGTATAGTGACCCTGTAGGCAAAGTAGAACTGTGTCAGAGGGTTTCTAGGCTGTAAATCTTCACAGAAGCACACTGCCACGTCTTTCTTCCTTTGAGTGACTAGTGGGTCCAAACTGCTGGCCTTTTATTAAACAGCCAAGCGCTTTAACCACAGTACCACTAGAACAGCAGAATAGCAGATACTGTGTTTTAAATTTCTTTATCTGTACCCAGACTCTCAAATACCCATTGTCTTCTTTTGAGATTTAAAAAGAGATTGAGATATTAAGATTTAAAAATACTGTATTACAAATTGTGGTTAGAAATCAAATAGTATATTGCATTAGCCCAAATTGCTACAAAAGACCACTTTAAAGTATTAAAAAGCAAATATGTCACCTTGAGGACTAAGGTGCATCAAACCCAAGCCATATTGTTTTCAGTTGCCTGATATGCATACAAAAGGGCTACTTTTGAAATACGGTGCTGGTGAAGAATATTGAGTATATTAGGGGCTGACAAAAGGATGAATAAATCTTAGAAGATACACAGCCAGAATGTTCCTTGGAAGGATGGCAAGACTTCATTTCATGTACTTTGGGCATGTTCTGAGGAGAGACCAGTCTCTGAAGAAGGAAGGACACCATGCTTGTATAGTAGAGAGTTGGTGAAAAAGAAGACCCTCAACAAACCAGATTGATACAGTGGCTGCCACATTGAGTTCATAAAGCAGTAATTGTGAGGATGGTGTGGGATTGGGCAACATTTTGTTCTGTTGTATGACGTAGGGTCATTTTGAGTCAGAAGTGACTCGGCAGCACCTAACAACTAGAAGAATATTGTGGTTATATTCAACCCTAGAAAATCACGAAATGCAGTCTTAGATATATTATCTTAAAAAAGATATGTTAAAGAAAATGTGTCCTACAGGAGCTCTGGTAGCGTAGTGGTTACGAATCGGGCTGCGAACCTCAAGGTCAGCAGTTCCAAACTACCAGCTGTTCCGCGGGAGAAAGATGAGGCGTTCTGCTCCCATAAAGATTTACAGCCTTGGAAACCCTATACGGGGTCACTGTGAGTCGTAACTGACTCCACGACATAACAACAACAATATAGAATTTTAGTTGGTTTTTTTTGTTGTTGTTGTTTTTATGAGACATATACATTACCTGGTGAGGCGCTATAGCATCAGCACTGGACTTTGAACCACAAGATTGGCAGTTCAAACCTACCAGCTGCTCCTCAGAAACCGTATACAGAGTTACTATGAGTTGAAACTAACTCAACAGAACTAACAACAACATACATTACCTGGACATTTTTCTTGCTCACTGACAATAACATACTGCTAATTTTTATTTTTATGTGCTACTGTGATTGCCATTGCTCATAAACTCCAACTTAAAACCTCAAGCAATTTCTGTTTTTTTTTTGTTTTGTTTTTTGTTTTTTTCCAACAGCTCTGATTTTAGCCCTAAAAACACTTCAGGACAAGATTCATCGTTTAGAGCTAGAGAGAACACAAGCTGAAGATAACCTGAACATACTGTCTAAAGAGGCTGCACAGTATAAAAAAGCTTTGGAGAATGAAACAAATGAGCGAAATCTGGCACACGAGGAACTGATAAAGCAGAAAAAAGGTACAAAAGTGCAGTCGTTCCCAGAAATAGAAGGGTTACTAAAGTTTATAGTTTGAAAATAATAATCCCAGTCCAAACACATTTACTCAAGTGTCTTTCTTATATACATGCTGACCTTGAGCCCTTGCTCTCAGACAATGGGGACAGTTGATATGTTCTTGATATTAAAAGAAAAATTCTTAAGGCACACTGTATTTAGAAACTGGAATATTTTCAGAATAACCAATAAAATCCAGTTTAAGCCATAATGGAGCTCCAGTGTTTTATGTTTTCAGCTAGAACTATTTGATTTTAAAGTAGTGGAATTAAGTAATATAAAAACCACAATAAAGCAACTTGTAATATGGATCGTGAAAAGATTTGGGCATAAGAGCTTTAGAGATTAAAGGCAGCAGTCTCTATTTTACATATTTTCACTTCAAAATTTAGGGTTTTTTTTTTTGCTTTGGCACTACATTCACCATCATAAATGAGGCTTAAATTTCTGTTTTGGTTTACAAATACAATGAAGAAAGGAGAAGGTAATATTTTCTGAGATGATAGAACAAATATGGAAGAAAGAACTGAGCAAAGTAAAAGGGATGCTTATTCCTTATGGGATTGGCTGTGTTGTAAGTAGTGGAAAGCAGAGGATAGTGGGAATGGTAGAATGCATATACGTGAGTATTCAAAAAGTACAATTGTAATGAGAATCTAGTTCCTCTATTTTTCAAAATGGTGTCATTTTCCAGGAATAATCAGAATGGTGATCATTCTACACAGCCATCCTTTCTTTCAGAAGTATGCCCTCTGGGTCTCTGTTGTTGTTAGGTGCTGCCAAATTGGTTCCAATTCATAGTGACCCTATGCACAACAGAACAGAAACACTGCCCAGTCCTGCACCATTTTCACAATTGTTGTTAGATTTGAACCCATTGTTGCTGCCACTGTGTGTCAGTCTATCTTGTTGGGGTCTTCCTCTTTTTCCCTTTACTCTGTATTTTACTGAGCATGATGCCCTTCTCCAGAGACTGATCCTTCTTGACAATATATCCTAAAAGCAAAGATAAAGTCTCATCATCCTGGCTTCTAAGGAACATTCTGGCTGTTTTTCTTCCAAAACAGATTGGTTATTTTTCTTGTAATCCATGGAACTTTCCATTTGCTTTGTCAACACCATAATTTAAACACATCAGTTCTTCTACACTCTTCCTTATTCACTGTCCAGCTTTCACGTGCATGTAAGGTTAATGAAAATACCATGGGTTGGGTCAGGTGCACCTTAGCTCTCTCAAACTGACATCTTTGTTCTTGAACACTTTAAAGAGGTCCTGTGTAGCAGATTTTCCTAATGCAATACGTCGTTTGATTTCTTGATTGCTGCTTCCATGAGTGTTGATCCAAGTAAAATGAAGTCTTAGACCATTTCAGTCTTTTCTCCAGTTTTGAGTATTTTCATTTTCATTATATTGAGATGCAGCCCATCATGGATTTGTTCTTCATCAGGAAGTATTTTAAGTCCTCGTTGCTTCCATCTGTGTCATCTGCATACCACAGCTTGTTAGTGAGTCTTCCTCCAATCCTGATGCCACGTTCTTCATCTAATCTGGCTTCTTAGATTATTTGTTTAGCATGCAGATTAAATAAGTGTGGAACCCTTACACATACTTTTCACCTTGTTTTGTTTGTATAACTGCCTCTTGGTCTATTCACAGGCTCCTCATGAGCACAATCAAGTGTTCTGGAATACCCATTCTTGACAATGTTGTCCATAGTTCACTATGATCCACACAGTGGAATGCCTTTGTATAGTCAGTAAAGCACAAGTAAACGTCATTTTGATGTTCTCTGTTTTTAGTCAAGATCCTTCTGACGTCAGCAGTGATATTCCTTATTCCATGTCCTCTTATGAATCTGGCTTGAATTTCTGGCAGCTCCCTGTTGATGTACTGCTGCAACCATTTTTTAGTTACCTTAAGCAAACTTTTACTTGCATATGATGTTAATAATACTGTTTGATGATTTCCACATGCTGTTGGATCACCTTTCTTTGAAATGCTCACAAATACAGATCTCTTCCAATCAGTTTGGCCAGGTAGCTATCTTCCAAATTTCTTGACATAGATGAGTGAGCACCTCCAGTGCTGCATCAATTTGTTGAAAGATTTAACTTTGTATTCCATCAATTCCTGGAGCCTTGGTTTTTGCCAGTGCATTCAGGGCAGCTTAGACTTCTTCCATCAGTACCATCAGTTCTTGATCATGTTACCTCTTGAAATGATTGCGCATTGAGCAGTTCTTTTTGGTAAGTGACTCTGTGTATTCCTTTCATCTTTTTCTGATGCCTCCTGCATCCTTCAATATTTTGTCCATAAAATCCTTAAATACCATAAGTTGAGACTTAAATGTTTTCTTCACTTTTTTTAGTTTGAAACATACTGAGCCTATTCTTTTCGTTTTCTAATTCCAGATCTTTGCATATTGTCATACAATACTTGACTTTGTTTTCTCAAACTGCCCTTTGAAATTTTCTGATTAGCTCTTTTACTTTCTCATTTGTTCCCATTGCCTTAGCTTCTCAGTGCTCAAGGGCAAATTTCAGAGTCTCCTCTGACATCCATTTTGGTCTTTACTTCCTTTTTAATGATCTTTTACATTCTTCCTCCATGATCTTCTTGCTATCACTGGTTTTTGGTCATTAGTATGTTGCACATGGGGATGGGGGAGCTTGGTGGCAGATCAGGGAGAAGTGCAGTGAGGATCTCCATCAGCAATAATACAGAATACTGGAGGAAGCAGGTTCAAATACCTTTAGACAGCATAAGAAATGATTAATAATAAAATATCAGAAATGGACAGTACACTGAAAGGACAAAGGAGTAGAAGAGACGGAAGCCAGAACTAGCAAGCTGGAAGACAAATCTCTCAATACTGCTAAGATAGAAGAGCAAGCAGAAAAAAGGATACAAAAATCTTTAAAAAGTCTAAAATTCATGTTGGACAACATGAAGAGGAATAACTTAAGAATTATTGGCACTCCAGAACAGAAGAATCACACAAGTCCACAGAGGAGATAGTTGAAGAGCTTCTGGAAGAAAATTTCCCTAACATCTTGAAAAAAACGAAAAGATAAGCATTCAGGAAGCTGAATAATGGACCCAGGAAGGACAGACCCCAAAAGAAAAGCACCAAGACACATAATAATCAAGTTCTCCCAAAATCAAAGACAAGGAGAGAATCCTGAAAGCAGCCAGGGAAAAGAGAAGTGTTACTTACAAAGGCAAGCAAATCAGATTAAGCTCGGATCTCTCAGCAGAAACCATGCAAGCAAGAAGGCAGTGCAGAGAGATACATAAAACCCTAAAAGAAAAAACTGCCAACCAAGAATCCTATACCCAGCAAAGCTGTCATTCAAATATGACAGTGTAATCAAAATATTCCAGGATAAACAGAAGCTAAGGGATTTTGCCAAAGCCAACCAGGTGCTGCAAAACATCCTAAAGGGAGTTCTGTGGCCTGAGAACCAACAAGAACAGACAACAACCAGAGATTGACATACGTGGCAGCACCACCCGGAATTCAATTAACTACTTTCCTTTTTGTTTCCAACTTTCACATTCCAGTCACCAGTAATTATCAATGCACCTGGAAGTGTATGTTTGGTCAATTTCAGCCTGAAGTAGTTGGGAGAATTCAGCTTCATCATCACTGGCTTTAGTGGTTGGTATATAAATTTGAAAAATAGTGTTATTAACTGGTTTTCATTGTAGGCATATGGATATTATCCTATCACAGAGAGTATTGTACTTCAAGACACATCTTAAAATGTTCTTTTTGACAATGAACGCAACACCATTCCTCTTCAATTTGTTGTTCCTAGTATGATGGTCTGATTCAAAAAAGACCAATACCAGTCCATTTCAGCTCACTAATGCCTAATTTCGATTTTTTATGTTCCATTTAATTTTTGACAGCTTCTAATTTTCTTAGATTCATAGTTCATACATTCCATGATCCAATTATTAATGGATTTTTGCAGCTGTTTCTTCTCATTTTGAACTGTGCCCCATCAGCAAATGAAGATCCGGAAAGCTTTGCTTCACTCACATCATTAAGATCAAATTTACTTTGAGGAGACAGCTCTTCTCCAGTCATTTTTTTAGTGTCTTCCAACCTGAGGGTCTCATCTTCCAGCATTATATCTGACATTATTGCATTGATACTCGTAATGGTTATTGAGAAGTGCTCTGCCTTTCTTGCTTCTTAGTATGGAAGCTCTGCTAGAACCTGCCCACCATGGGTGACCCTGCTGATATTAAAAACACTGGTAGCATAACTTCCAGCATCAGAGCAACACAGAAGCCACCACAGTATGATAAATTGACAGACAAGTGGTGGTTTGGGTCCCTAGGGGAAGACAAAGTGAAATTGAAACATTATTTATATAGTTTCCAAGATTGTTGCAACACATAAGATACCACAGTACAACAAAGTGACAGATGAGTGGCGATTTGAATCTCTAGGGGGAGACAAAGTGAAACCTATTATTTATAACTAATGAAACATAAAATATATTTTTCATAACCCAGTAAGAATAAGTGCTTAGAACTATAGGTGCCTTGAACTTTTAGCTCTTGCCTCGATTAATGTGTGGCACTGTAGGATACTTCACAACAACAACAACAACTGTAGGATAAGCACTCAACCACAAGGTCAGTTTGAACTGCAAGGTCAGCCTTTCAAACTCACCAGCCACTCCTCGGAAACCCTATACAAGGTCTCTATAGGTTGGAACTGACTCATCAGCACTTAACAACAATAACAATTTATCCTACCCAGTTTTCTAATCTATGTTATAATCAACTATTTGACTCATTTTGGTTTTCTTCCTAGATATAAGTATACAGTTAAGCTCAGCCCAGTCTCGGTGTACTCTTCTAGAGAAACAACTAGAATATACCAAGAGAATGGTTCTCAACGCAGAGCGAGAGAAGAATATAATCCTAGAACAACAGGTAATTTTTTTTTTTCCCTGTAAAAAATGATAATGTCATGTAATATGTTTTTGAATATCTTTAATGACATTGGAGTACTGTCATGTTATAACCTTAAGTCGTATATTGTTGTGGTGTTGTTGTTAGGTGCCACTGAGTTGGTGCCGACCCATAGCGACCTTATGCACAGCAGAACGAGACACTGCCCGATCCTGGGCCAATCTCACTACTGTTGCCACGCTTGAGTCCATTGATGCTGCCACTTGGCCAATCCATCTCGTTGGGGGTCTTCCTCTTTTTCTCTGACCCTCCTCCACCTTGTTGTTGTTGTTGTTAAGTGCTGTCGAGTCGATTCCAACCCATAGCGACCCTTTATAGGGTTTCCAAGGAGCAGCTGGTGACGTTGCAGTGCAAACGACTTTGCAGTCTGATGTATTAGCCCACATCGCCACACCAGGACCCTCCACCTTACCAAACATGATATTCTTCTTCATTTACTGGTCCCTGCTGACAATATGTCCGAAGTATGAGAGATTAAGTTTGGCCATCTTGGCCTCCAAGGAGCATTCTGGCTGCACTTCTACCAAAATCGATCTATTGGTTCTTTTGGCAGCCCATGATAAATACCTTCAATACTCTCTTCCAGCACCATAACTCAAAAGCATCAATTCTATTATGGTCTTCCTTATTCACTGCCCAGCTTTCGCATGCATATGAGGTTATGTATAAAACTGCATAATTCTCAAAAAGGTTGACCATTTGAACCCTCCCAGAGGTACCTAGGAAGAAAAGCCTGCTGATCTGCATCCAAAAGTGGAATGCAGTTCTACTCTGTGCAGATGGAATTATCATGACTCACACCCACTAAAATGGCTATTATAAAAAAAAAAAGGAAAATAGCCAGTGTTAGTTGGCAAGAATGTGGAGAAACTGGTATCCTCATCCACTGTTGAAAACAGTTTGATAGTTCTTCAAAAGATTAAACATAAAATTACTGGATCTACATGATCCAGCAATTACACTCCTAGGTATATAGCCAATAGAATTAAAACACGGACTCAGACACTTGTACACCATTGTTCATAACAACATTCACAATAGCTAAAAGGTAGAAACAGTTTATAAACAGGTAAACCAAGGTGGTATATCCACACAAAGGAATATTATTCAGCCATAAAGAGAGAGGAAGTTCCAATATGTACTGCAACATGGATAAATCTTGAAGACAGTGTACTGAATGGAGTAAGTCACACACAAAAGGACAAATATTATATGATTCTCACTTATATGAGGTATCTATAAATATATTAAATAAATATGTGAAGTATTAGTAGTTGTTGTTAAATGCTGTCAAGTCAGTTCCAACTGAGAGCAACTATGTATAGGGATTCTGAGGAGCAGCTGTTGGGTTTGAACTGCTGATCTTGTGGTTCACAGTCCAGTGTTGATCCATAGCACCACATTAGGAGTCCAAGAAATATAAGTAGGCAAATTATAAAGAAAAGTGTATTGATGCCTGTTAGGATATGGGCAATGGTGAAATGGGGAATTTTACTTGGGGGATTCTGAGTGTTTGAGGTGATGAAAACATTCAAAAGTGAATTGTGTTGATGGTTGTACAACATGGTAAATGTGATTATCACTAGTTCAGTACTTAATGATAGTTAAAATGACAAATTTTTTGTTGTATATTTTTTACCTCAGTTTTTTTTTAGTTTGGTAGAATTCAGTGTTTGATAGACGCCATCTAGGCCTGACTGGGATATTCTTGGTTAGGATAGTTTCAATTATAAACTCAAATTTACTTAATAGACACAGTGCTACACAGATTTTCTGTTTATTTCTTGGGTTTCTATTTTTCTCCTCTATCCCCCTCTTTCATTCTGATATTGCTAATATATTTTCACTTTTTAAAAAATTAACATGTTATCAATTATATTGATAACCACCAAAGGGCACATTCTGCAAGTCTGCGTCCTGGTCTCAGCTCTCAATCCCTCTCTTTCCACGAATCTAGAGTCCTCAGCTGCTCCCGTTCTTCATGTCCCCATCTCTGCCTCCATCTCTGGTGTCACTGCTTCTCTGGATAAGGTCCCGCATTCCACTTGTGCACTTGATGGTCCTAGGGTCTTCTGTTTCTGGACTGTAAGAGTAACCACTCCCTCTTTTTTCCTTACAAAACTTTTACCTTTACAATTGTGACAGTTGCAATTAGTCATGGTAACAATTACTCACTATTGAATCATAAGAATCTTATCACCATCTCTTTTTACCAGACCCCTCTAGATGAAAACCATTCACTGGGGACACTATCTTCTCCCACACACTCTTAAACTAAACTCCCTCTTGAAATCTTATAATTCAGTCACTTTGAGCCTTTATCCCCCGCATTTTAGGTAGCCTATGTCTAAGTTGCCCGTCCTTGTCTACCCTGATTATAGAGGAGATGGCATTGATACTTGATGTGAAGACTTCTTCCCTCTCGCTTGATGTTTTGAACTACTTCCTCTATGAGTTTACCTGTGCTTTATTTACTATGCAAAGGCTTTCAATTGTGTGGATCATGACAAGCTATGGACAATATTGTGAAGTATGAGTATTCCAGAACACTTAATTGTGCTCATAAGGAATCAGTACATGGACCAAGAGGCAGTTGTTCAAATAGAACATGGCAACACTGAATGGTTTAAAATTAAGAAAGGTGTGCAACAGGGTTGTATTCTTTTACCATACTTACTCAACCTGTGTGCTGAGCAAATATATCCGAGAAGGTGGGTTTTGTGAAGAAAAACGTGGCATCAGGATTGGAGGAAGACTTACTAACATCCTGCGATATGCATATGATACAACTTTGCTTGCTGAAAGTGAAGAGGACATACTGATGAAGATCAAAGATCACAACGTTCGGTATGGATTACATCTCAATGTCAAGAAAGCAAAAATCCTCATCACTGGACCAATAAACAGCATTCTTATCAACAGAGAAAAAAATGAAGTTGTCAAGGACTTCATTCTTCTTGGATCAACTATCAACACTCACGGAAGCAGCAGTCAAGAAATCAAACAACATACTGCATTAGACAAATCTGCTGCACAAGACCTTTTCAAAGTGTTGAAGAGCAAAGATGTCAGCTTGAGGGCTAAGGTGCGCCTGATCCAAGCCATGGTATTTTCTAAAACCTCATATGCATGCGAAAGCTGGACTGTAGAAGAATTGATACATTTCAGTTGTGGTGTTGGAAAATATTGAAAGTGCCATGGCTGCCAAAAGAACCAACAGATCTGTGTTGAAAGAAGTGCAGCCAGAGTACTCCTTGAAGGCCAGGATGGCCAAACGTTGTCTCTCATACTTTGGACATATTGTCAGGAGGGACCAGTCGCTGGAGAAGGATATCATGTTTGGTAAGGTGGAGGGTTAGAGAAAAAGAGGAAGACCCTCAGCAAGATAGATTGGCAATATGGCAGCATCAGTGGGCTCAAGCATGGCAGTAATTGTGAGGTCGGCCCAGGACCAGGCAGTGTTTTGTTTTGTTATGCATAGGGTCACTATGAGTTTGGTACTGACTCAATGGCACCTAACAACAACAAACCTCTATGAGAATCAGTAAAGTTCATCAGATTGTAGTAATTAACCTTCATTTCCTTTATCAAAAATTTTTAATTTTTTTTTAAATCTTGCTCTAGTTGAGTTCTGAGTATCAAGCCATTGAGGCTAGGTCAAATGGGTACTGTCTGCAAGTTTGGGTGTTCTTGTGTGTCTCCCCTCACTTCATATTAGCTGTATGCTTCACTCTGATCTCTAGCCCTATGTGGCTATAATATCCTTGGGCTCAGGTGTCCCAGGTCTCACCACACTTTGGACCAACCAGCCTTTCCTCTTTTCTCTCTCATCTCCAGGTCAATGGGAGTCTATAGAACGTGGTTGAACTTAGCTCATTTCTTCATTGCTGCCTTTCCCCCGATTCCACTCATCAGTAGACCAGTGTGATCGCCAGCAGGGTATATGCCTGCTCATGTGTTCCCTTTTGAGTTTCAATCTTAGATAGGGGTTTGTTCTGAAGGGGCATGATTGCTTGCCTTGATGGCTTCCAAGTGAACAATTTGCTTATTCTTGTAGTAGCCAGTCAGTCCTACTGCCATTTTTGTTTTGGTTTTTTTCTGATAATCTTCCTTTGAAGATGTATCATCTGTCTATATTGATAATTTTCAAAGACATCATTATATTTTTGGTTTTTAATTTATGCCTTTTCTTATTGATTTCCACTTTATTATTTTTTTTTCTACCTAAATGGAGTTTAATTTGTTCTTTTTAATTTCTAGCTCTCTGTACTGACAGACTACACTATTAAGTGTCAACCTTTTTGTTCAATGTATATCTTTAATTGCAAAATGTTTTATTTTGCCTCATAAATTTGGTTATAGTTTATCATTCAGTTCAAAATTAATCATTATTGAATCATACAAATCTTATCCCCATCTCTTTTCTCTAGACAAGATGAAAACTATTTAATGGGGACTCTACCTTCCCCCGCACACTCTGAAACTAAATTCCCTCACGAAAACTTGTAAGCCAGTCACTTCATGCCTTTATTGCCTCCCCATTTTAGGTAGCCAGTATGTAAGTTGCCCATCCCTATCAACCTTGTGTACTTAGGGGTAGGATTGATCCTTAATGTGAAGACACCTTCCCTCTCAGTTGGTGTTTTGAGCTACTACATCCGTAAGTATAGATCAAGTTCCTCAAATTGTAGCAATTTACCCACATGTCCCTGAAACAAATGTTTAATGAAACTGTTTCCCTTTACTCTTTGTGTAATGATATATTTTATAATATTGATTGTGACCACTAAATTGATTTTTGTCACCCACCGAGATTCTTATGAATGTGCTTTAGGGGACATTCTTGGTAGTGTTCATAAACAGAAAATACTGGACCCAGCTCAAATGCTGATTACAGTATATTCACACAATGGACTGTTACATAGCAGTGAAAGTAAATGACCCAACAACATGGATTAATT